GGGGGGTCATCCGGGAGGGATGGAATGGGGCCTGTCCTGGGGGGCCGAGCAGCAGCCAGGGGCAGGAGACAAAGCTCACATCTCTGTCCTCCTCCTGGTAATTTCTAATGGGCTGTCCGCACGTGGAATGTTGATGTGATCAGAATTAGAAATACGGAGAAATCATTTTGTTCTGAGTGTTCCAACTGGCAAGTTTTCATTTATTACGATCAGCAGGTACTCTCTTGGCTTGGTAGAAATCTGCCCCAAGGACGCCACCTCTGTGCAGAACAGGGGGGTCTACACGGGAGGGTGTCCCTGACAGCTGCTCCCGTGGAAGCCTCTGCCCTGCTTCCTGGGGCCTCCTGGAGGCCCGGGAGTCACTTTCAAACAGCTCTCCCCAGGCCTTAGAGACCTGTGATGCCATCTTTCTAGGCAGATGTGTCCCCTACAAAACCCTGAGTCAACTCAACCCTCCTCTACAGGTGAAGGGAAAGAAGGAGAATGAGCTGGACGCGGGAAAACGGAATAGGTCTTAGGTCTTCAAAAGTCTTAGTGGTCACGAGAAGTCACCTTTTTCGTGTCGATTTTTAGTGCAATCTGATGAACGAAATGAGACTTCTTCCGTTCGGTAGTTTGTTAGCTGGGCCCTGAAGAAAGTAGAAACTTCAGAAACGTAAATTCCAAAGGTTTAAGAGTTACATTAAATGACACCTCTTTTATTTGAGGTCCTAAAAATCTAGTTGTATTTGAGAAATGGAAAAATACTCTCTAGGGGCGCCTGGGTGGCTCAGTCGGTTGAGCATCCGACTTCGGCTCGGGTCATGATCTTGCACTCCGTGAGTTTGAGCCCCGCGTCGGGTTCTGTGCAGACAGCTCGGAGCCTGGAGTCTGTTTTGGATTCTGTGTCTCTCTCTCTGCCCCTCCCCTGCTCATACTCTGTCTCTCTCACTCTCAAAAATGAATAAATGTTTAAAAAAAAGAAAAATAGTATCTAAAATGCCTTGCCTTTGGAGCATTTTGCCCCCTTACTTATGCGTAGTTTTAGGGGCAATAACTTACTTTTTCTTCCCCCAATACATTTGTCAGTGAAACAATTTAAAAGGATATTTCTACATGCTTGAATCATGCCACAGTGTGTAAATCAGCAGTGACTGTCTCCTGCCGACTGTCTCCTGCCGACTTCATTCCATTTACACGATCTTAAAGGCTAATGGGTCAGAGTGACCCAGAAACCCTGGTTACAGAATGGGTGTGTATATGCTTTTATTACAGACCCAGAGATTGTTTTAGAATTCTTAGTTCTTCCACCATTAAAGCACAGTGATGCGTCACCATCAATATGAGGATAGCTTCTGTTTACCTGTCATTGTTAATGGATATGAGAAATTGCATCAATCTAGAAAAATAAGATAAATGCATAAAAAGGCACGGGCAGTACATTTCCCAAGAGGAAGACCATTTTGGACGAAAAGCAATGAAATTGTTTATAAGTTACATTTAACTTCCCCAAAGAAATGTACTCATCTAGTTGGGTCTTCTTTTCATGTAATGATTCACAGAGACAACAACACAGGTATTTCTTTCCCTGCACACATTATGTACCTTTTGCTGTAGTTTTATTTAACTTAGACATCTTTTTTTAAAGTGATGAAGTTGTAACATATTTTATTCTCATGGATGATGTTATTTTTTTTACTTTAGGATATTGAAAAGGCCTATGAAATGGTCTGTCAAGAAGGATCTAACTTGAACCCAGATCTAGGGGAGCTGGTGGTGGTTCCTCTGTACCCAGAAGAGAAATGTGCGTTGTTCAAGCCAAATGAGGAAACAGAAAAAAGATGCCAAGTTTATCAGAGGAGAGTGGTGCTAACCACTAGCTCTGGAGAGTCTTTGATCTGGAGTAACACAGTCAAATTTGTCATCGACGTGGGTGTGGAAAGAAGAAAGGTAAATTCTTGTCACGTGCGTAAATAACCTGCTGATGAGCATCGAGAATCCATTTCTTGGGTTCCTGCCATCGTATCGAGCAGGAAGTGAGGATGAACTCTGCGATCTGATGAGTCTCTGAGTTGCCCATGCGCACACAGGAGGATTATCGCGGCCGGTGACCAGTCTTGCCTACCCACTACTGACTTTCGTTAGCTTCTTGGTAATCCCCACGCTAATTGAGGTGCCAGAGGAAAACGTTTTGAGAAAAGACACAGCTACTAAAGCAGAAAAGTGATGGCTCCTCTTGTCAGTGGTTTTTCTTCAGCTAAGGTGCTAGCAAGGCAAAGGATCCGACTCCTGAACCAGTCTTTTCCTACGTACATCGTCTGAGTGTCTTGGGGGAACCCCCTTTCTCAAAGTAATTAGCATCTTGGTGATTTACCAGAATTTAGTTTCGAGTACACTGGCTTTAATTTTATCAGATTTTGGGTTTAATATTGACAGGATGAAATCCTATCCTAAATTTTTAAAAATACTTTTATAACTACCTGTAAGAAAAAAAAAATTAGGAAAATGGAAGTAGGCTATCTCAAACTCTCAAAGACACTGGAACTTAAGGAATCATAGCATTTAAGAACTTGAAAAGAAACGTACCAGGGTATCGATCCATTTCACATCATTAGAGGTTTACGTAGCTTTTACCCCTTTAGGAAACTGGGTCCCCGCAGTATGTTACTGTCACAGAGCAATTCCAGCCGTTCTGAAGGCTCCCTGGGAACCAGTTTGGGCTCTTAACTGAATTCATCCACCGTTCAGAGAACCCAGGGCTGTCACTTCCCCCTCAAACCACCCGTAGGAAAAATCCCGCTTGGTGCCATATGCCGTTTTTGTCTGAGCCCCTAGCACTGGGAGGGCTCAGCATCTGTTGTCAAGGTCAGACCGCTGAGATCACAACTAGAATGGAACCTTGAAGAGACACAGCACTGGCGGGTGATCATCCTTTCCTCTGTGTGGCGTGTGACGATCCGTCATCGTTCACAGGGTCGTGCTTTGAGAAGCGACACCACCAGCATTTCGGGAGATGGTGCGGAGGCCCTGTGTTTATTGAACCTACACTGAAAGCAGACAGTCTCTAAATCCATTTATCAAGCCACTAGCCGTTTCTCTCTCAGGGCAAGCGAAACAATAACAAATGTCATCCCGAGAAAATGAGTCTGTAGTTGGGCATTTCGCAAAGCGCCCTGGACCATACAGTCCCCTCCGGTCCGGCGAGCCCGCGAAATCTTGAGCGATGTGATACTAAAGATGCTGTGTTTCCGTTCACAGGTGTACAATCCTAGAATCAGAGCGAACTCACTCATCACGCAGCCCATCAGCCAAAGCCAAGCGGAGATACGCAAGCAGATTGTCGGTTCGTCTTCTCCAGGTAGCACCACGGCCACGAACACGGCTGCAAATCCCCGGAGGCAGGCGACCGGGAGCCATCGTAACCATGTCCCTTGGTTTCTTCCAGGAAAACTCTTCCGTCTGTACTCTGAGGAGTTCGCCTCCAAAGACATGCGGCCGCTCAAGCCAGCCGAGATGCAGGAGGCGAACCTGACCAGCATGGTGCTGTTCGTGAAGAGAATAGACATCGCGGGCTTAGGCCACTGTGACTTCATCAACAGACCAGGTAGCTGTGTGCTCGAGTGTTCTCAGGGCGCGTGGCGGAGACGTGGCAGAGACGTGTGCCCCTGCCCGGGCCCGGGCCTGAGAGCAGGTGGCCCTCAGTGGCACAGGCAGGCGCGCAGAGATTTGGTCGTACAAGCATTGTCCCCGTTAGAGGCACATGTCCTCTGAGGTCACTTTTCGACAAACCTGTAGGAACTTCTTGCCCTGACACTGGAGAATGATCTGGACCCTGGAGCCCGGGCGGCTGGGCAGGGGTGGCCAGTCCCGGCCCGAGAGTGGCCTCTTCCACAGGCAGCCCCTTCCCGCTGCCCCCTGCCCGCGTCCAGGCGTCTTTACCTTGGGAACCGCTGCTTTGTTCTCGGACCAGCAGCTTGACCTCACCGAAACAGAGTGGGTACGTGAGTCCCCCATGGAGGGTCCTGACTGAAAGGATTGGTTGCTCTTCACTGATAACTTAGTTCACTTGTGCTTTGATAAAAAGAACGTCCTTAATTTTTTTCACACTTTAGGCCAGTGGGTGAAATTTTCAGTATGTGTATCAGACGGTGGCAGGTGGGGGGACGGGGGGGGGGGGGGGGGGGGGGGGGGGGGGGGGGCGGTGGATGACAACCTACTGATCCGGGTTCTGTATCACATGCACACGAGAGAGTCACAAAAGACGGTGTAAGCAGAGAGCATACTTGGAAACAGTGGAATTTCTTCTTTGTTTGGGATGTTTTCTCTCTGTTCCTGTTTTTCTGTCATTTTGCCCAGCAGTGCTGGTAGGATTTACAAGCACTTGAGAAGTACATTATTTAAAATTATTTTTTAACGTTTATTTATTACTGAGAGACAGAGACACAGCATGAGCAGGGGAGGGGCTGAGAGAGAGAGGGAGACACAGAATCCGAAGCAGGCTCCAGGCTCCGAGCTGTCAGCACAGAGCCCGACATGGGGCTCGAACCCAGAAACCACGAGATCATGACCTGAGCCGAAGTCGGATGCTCAACTGACTGAGCCACCCAGGTGCCCCGAGAAGTACGTTATTTTAGAGTAACTCTTTCTCAAATATTTCCGAAAATGACTGGTAGGATTTAGAGTGGGTTAAGAGGAAGGTGCTCTAAAGGTGACAGGTGCAAAGTCGACAGTGGAGACAGCTTGTCCTTCTAAGTGGCGCGGCCCTGTGCGGAGGGTGCGAGAAGTCGGCGTGGGCGGGACCAGCGGCACCTGCCGCCTCAGGGCGCCCCAGGAGCATCGCCAGAAGTTTCCTCACCCTGAGGGCCCGGCAGGTGCACCTTGCTCTGCACCAGTGTTGCGTCCTTCCCTGGAGCCTTTCAGAGTTTTACAACAAAACTCTCCCAGTAAACACCGTGAAAAATCAATTACTCTGGGGAACCCTTTGGGGTCTTAGATTTTCAGTGCAGACTTTCTCACCTAAGGAGCAGGGGGATCTCCAGGAGGGAGAGGGACCCGAGCTGCTCCTTCTGAGATCCGTCTACTTCCTCTGCAGCCATTTCCTCCCGGGAGCTCTCCGTCCTTCCAGAAGAAGGACTGCGGACAGCTCTTCTGCAGTGTCCGTGCCCCTGCCCCATCTGCCCACTGTGCCAAGTCTGCAGGACCATGTGCGGGGCCCCTGGAAGCCACCATGACCGGGGGGGGGGGGGCACGGAGCCCCCGGAGAGGCTGTCCTTGGGAGGGAGACTGGCTTCCCTAAGGGCCTAGAGGATGCAGGTGTCAGAGCACAGGGCAGCGGGAAGACCTTCTCCAGGGTGAGCAGCAGAGGAGCCGAGACGCAGGCAGGACAGAGAAGAAGTCGGAGTAGGATGTGCGTCGAGGAAACGTACCTGGGAAACTGGGCTGGCACCTGGGTGGCGGCCACGCGGCGCCACCCTCCCGCGGGCCTCGGGGGACGTGAGCCGATTTTGCTTGGCTGCCGGCCTCCCTGCCTGAGAAGAGTGTTCCTGGGGCCCGGCTCCTGGGTCACCGGCCAAAGCGAGGAATGCGTGTCTGCTGGGTGCACCGACCTAGGCAGGAGGAGCTCTGGGGACGTAAGGTTGTAGAGTGTGTGTGGCGACCTCGGCTCGGCGCATTTGGCTTACTGGACAGTGTGGGGTCACGGGAATCGTGGGGAGTCCGACGGGGCCGGGGGACAATATCCCGGTAGCCTCCACCCCGGGGCTGTCAAACGGCCACCCATCCTTCTCCCGGCTTTTCCTCTGGTCGCTGAGGAAGCAAGCGAGGGTCTGGGCCACGCGCCCCCGTTTCTCAGGTTTCTCACGGTGACCTCAGCTTCAGATGGCTCGGCTTCTGTCAGAGCCCGGCGGCCACAGTGAGCCCTGCCGAGAGCTTCCGGGGACTGAGCTCTGCAGAGACGTGCTTCGTTTCTGAAACCCACTCTTCCAGTTGCGCCGCTCATCGCTCCGGCCCCAGAGTCACCACGTGTCGGGTCCCCGGGTATCTTCCCGTTCCAGACGGTAGGTGTCTGGTGGCCTTGCCAGGAAGGGAGAAGAAAAGCAGGCTTTGTAACGTCAAAGATTCCAAAGAGCAGACGGCAAACCGCAGCAGGGCAGACCCTGCTTCCTCCCGCCAGCCTCCCGCTGCGCTGCCTGGAGCTGAGAACTGGGGACAGAGGGTTGGGGGGCAGCTCCTTTTTGTCTCCTGACAGCGTGCACACATCCGTGTTGTGCTGTGTTCGGGGAAAAGAGAACTGTGGACTAAGTCTGACTCATCGTTTTAGAAGGAAATAAAGATGACGCTTGCAGCTGCTGCATTAATTCAGCTGCTAATTGAAATACGCAAATGCAGCAAACGTGTTACCCTTTTCAGGGTTCATGAGCCATGTGAAACTGAATCTGGCATAACTAGGCTACCGGCTATTCACTGAACTCCCTTGATACTGATCTCTTAAAAAAGAAAAAAAAGAACCAGTTGTTTTTTCCTGCCTAGTGCTGACTGTTGGCCTCCATCATGAGCGACGCCATCACTGGCAGTCTGCATCCGGGGCGTCGGACCGACTGACCACGTCTCCTCCTCCGGGAAGGCGATGGCACCCGCACAGCAACTGGAGACAAACTAGCTGCGGTGCACTGGGCTACATCAGAGGTCATCTGTGTATCAGGAGGCAGAACCCATTTTGGGGGTGGCCAGACCACTGGCTTCAGAATGATCTAGGAGAGATGAACCCCTACACACAGACTTGCCAGTCATCATGTGCAGGATGAGAGCTCAAGAAAACGGGAGAGCACGCAGGGACAGAATAAAGTCGGGGCTGCAGAGGCCAGCATCGGTGTGGGCAGAAAGAGGGATTAAAGATGCTGCAATGGGTTGATCTGCGGTGTGGAGTCAGGCGTCAAGAAATCAGGATCTTCTGGAACTCTGGCCGCCACGGTAAAGCCGTTTGTGCGCACACTGGAGAAGCACGCGTGCAGGTCTCTATGTCACTGGAAACATGACATTTTGCTTCGGGGTTCACAGAAGGGTCTTTACACATTACAGTCTGTACTGAGAGGAGAACAGAGGGAGTGTGGGCTGCACACTCCACGCTCACAGTGGCACTCAGAGCCTCGCCAAGGACGCTTCCGTCCGCTGCCCGCCGCCCCCAGACAGCCCCAGAGGTGAGCAGGTGGTCTGGCGCCATCCCGGCAGGAAGGCCCAGCGTGGGTTTGTGAATGAGTGTCTGAGGCCACGCGGAGTTTATTGCAGTGTTCAGGTGGCCGGGTGGGAATGGGAAAAAGAGGCACAGATAAAGTAGAACAACCCAGGGGCGGCTGAATGAGGATCTTGGAAGATGCTGGAAGCAACAAAGTAATTTTTCAGAAAGCGAAGCTGAGAATGGGAGAGATTTTGTAAGGCGCAGAATGGAAGGAAGCATTTTCAGCTCTTGATCCGCATTAGGCTCTTCATAGGTCCTGTGAGCAAGTGACTTGTTAGCCAGGCCAGGGCGTTCAAGGGTGCACGATTAAGCTGGGACAAGACATGGGAGTGGGCCGTCCCTGGGGAGCCAGGGCAGAGGGACACTGAAAGCTCAGGCTCCTGAGCAGACTGCCAGGGCTCCGGTCCCGCCCCCCTGGCTCGCTGTGTCACATCCAGCATTATGTCACTTTCTCAGGGTCTGTTTCTTCATCTGAATGGGAGTGTAATCAGAGTAATTGGTTCATAGAATTGTCAAGATGAATTAGTTACCATGCGTGGGGCCCTTAGAAATATGGGCACACGGGCACCTGGGTGGCTCAGTCGGTTAAGTGTCCGACTTGGGCTCAGGTCATGATCTCACGGGTTGTGGGTTCAAGCCCCACATCAGGCTCTGTGCTGACAGCTCAGAGCCCGGAACCTGCTTCGGATTCTGTGTCTCCCTCCCTCTCTGCCCATGCTCGGTCTCTCTCAAAAATAAGCGTTAAAAAAATTTTTAAACGCACAGGCACACGGTAAATACTATGTCTGTCACCACCTGCATGGCTCCTACCCACACTCTGCGACAGGCACGTGGGCCCTGAGCTGAAGACGGGTGCACACAACGCGGTTTCCACGGTGGGAAAAGCAGATACCAGACCACAGGCGTTGGGAGGCGGCACCAGGCTGCCTCTGAGGAATCGCGGTGGGTCACAGCAGAGCTTGGACGTGGAGCCAGGAGGCGTGCTGCAGGTGCAGAGGCCTGGGCTCACATCCTCGTTTCGCCGAGCTGGGCCGCTCAGGCCTCTGCCTTTGGCAGGTCGCTTACCTTTTCCTCATCTGTAGCATGAGGATACAGTGTCTGCCCTCTTGTGTCAGGGGGTTACAAAGAGGTTCAAATGAGGGGGCGCCTGGGTGGCTCAGTTGGTTAAGTGTCCGACTTTTGATCTGGGCTGAGGTCATGATCTCACGGTTCGCGGGTCTGAGCCCTGCATCAGTGTCCGCCCTGGTGGTGTGGAGCCTGCTTGGGATTCTCCCCCCCCCCCCATTTGTGTGCTCTCGCTCTCTCTCTGTCTCAAAATAAATGAACTTGGGGAAAAGAGATTTAAATGAGATTATGCAAAAGTGCCGTGTATAGTGTATGGGGGTAGGAAGTAGGCAAATGCCAGGCTTTATGAGCATGTCCTTTGAAACTCAGGGAAGCAGAAGTGTTTCCTTCCTATTTTCAGAATCAAACTCTTAACCTACTCCCTGAAAGTCCTGACGTGAGAGTCTATGCTGTCAACCCAGAGCCATCTGATTCCTCAGTCTCTTCCTTCTGTGGACTTTGCAGCATACGCAGTGCCCAAGTCCCAGTCCTAAAACCACTTGGGACCAGAAGCTACAGTTTTAAAAAACGTTTACTTGTTTCTTTTATTTTGAGGGAGAAACAGTGCGAGCAGGGAAGGGGCCGAGAGAGGGAGGGACAGAGAGAGGGAGGAAGGAGGGAGAGAACCCCAAGCAGGCTCCACACTTCCGCGCAGAGCCCAACATGGCTCCCACGAACCAGATCCTTCTCTCGTGGTTCTTCTCCTTTGCTCTCTTTTCAGTCCACATGGCAGAAAGTTGGCCATGTTCTGCCTCGAGCCTTACGATGTCCTGAGTCAGCCCTTGGAAATCCCGGTTTCTGTGGGTCCAGACTCCTAAGACTCCCACCATAGAGTCATCGGCTCTGTTTGAGAAGGGGCCCACCCTGAACCGGTCAGCCCTGTGTGGAGGTTGGTGGCAGTGTAGGAGGCGGTCACACGGTACAGCTCACATGCTTCTCTGGGAGTGGAGGCACGCTCCTAGGTAAAACCGCATTCCCAGCACATTGGAAAGGGATTGTTGGGTTCTGTGTCGATGTCCCTCCTCAGACCGCCAGTTCTGGAAGGCCACGATTGAGCCCGTCCACGTGTGTACCTGCCCCCAGGGCCTTGCAAGTGCCAGCCGCACGAGAAGCCATGAGTGGCTTAGGAGGAAGCGAGTGAATGAGTTGAGTGTCATCCTTATAAGGGAGTAAGTCAGTCAGCAAACAGCCAACAGAGCAGCCTCGGCTCCTTTCTTCCCCTCGTGGTCCCTCACTAGGCTTGTGCCGGGGTGGCAGTGACGGAGGTGCCCGTGGCTGTCTCGTCTGGGTCTCCTTCCACGGCACGGTCAGGGGCAGAGGGGGCGTGTGAGAAGTCTGAGGACACAGCTAGGTCAGCTTGGAGGGGCCAGGCCGCCCCCGCCTCGTGCTGCAGACGGTGCCAGGCAGGCACTGCCGTTGCCCAAAAGCCCCGGCCACAGCAAGGCTGGGTACAGAGGACCTCGGCTCCTGCCAGAAAGGAGTGGGTGTGGCATTGAAAATGGGTCTCTTCCGTTTACCAGTGGAGGCCACCCTGTCTCGAAAATCCTTTCCGATTCTAATGACTCCGATTGAACTTTGATGCTATATCCTTACCGGATAGAAAGCAGGGTAAGGAGTATGGCGGGAGGAGAGGGACCAGCCCTGGCTTTGGGGACCGCTTACCGGGAGAGGCTCCTTGCCCTGTTCTGCCTGAGACATCTGTTAGCAGTATTTCCCATGGGTCACACTTAAGCGACACTGCCATAAAGAGCCTCTTCTAAGCCTGATCTTTAGCTAGAACAATTTTAGGAGCCACACTGGGGACAGGTCTTAAAGCGTGGCATGCAATATCGGCAAATTCTATTCAGTTCATTATTAGTTCCTTCACCTGTAAAATCTACATTCGTTAACTTGTTGCTTCTAATATGATCAAGCCTCAGGAACACCCTTTTTCTGGTGTGAGGGTTAAGAAGTCATTTCTGCCGGTAATCCCATGTGCAGCCTCCACCGCAGGGCATAAAAACGGGGACAAGCAGTGCCTTTTGGGGACAGAGCCTGGTCGTGAAGCCAGATGCTTACAGGGACAGTTGCTGAAGGTCCTGTAATGTACAATGCACCAGTGTCGCTGATTTATAGGAACTGTTCCTACACCATTTTCTGTAACTAAGTGAGCTCCTCACGCCTCCAGCTGCGTTTAATCTGCGAGGCTTGTTTCCCTTCCCGCTTCTCGTACCTTCTCCGGCAAGTCAGCTGTTCCTCCATCTCATGGCTCACTGACAGAACCCTTGGACTTGTTTCTTCAGCCCATCTGTTTCCTTCCCGGGACCGTCTTCTCGAGGTCTCCTCTTTTCCTGGGGGTCCCCAAGAACGGATGAGGAGCACGCCAGGGCTCTGTGCGGCACCCAGGCAGGACCGAGGCGTCAGGGCCCAGGGAGGGTGGGGGACCTCCTGGGCAGCCCTGCTGTGCTCCGCAGTCAGTCTCAGTGACAGAGTTCCAAACCAACAGGGAAGTTCAACTTTTCTTCTCCCAGCTGGGAATGAAAACTGTGCTCCAACCTATGTCAGGTCCGGGCATGTTCGCTGGGGCCGCTGCTTTTGCCTGCGGCCCGGGTGGCACAGGCCGAGAGCAGGCCCGTCACCTGCTCTGCTCTGCAGTGAAAGGACTGGAGACGCGCTGAATCGCGGGCAGCCGCAGCGAGCTGTTTGCCAAAACCCACAGTAGTGTCTCCCGGTGTTTTCAGCGTTGTCTTGTTAGGAAAGAGGGGACGTTATCAAATCCGAGTCGGTGACGGACTGGCTTTTGAGTCACGCGAGTTGCCTGAAATTCTGACAAGTAGCTTAGCAGTGTTTGAACAGCAAATAAGGAAATTTTTACTGTTACCTCGAACTCCCTGATGCCAGTAGGTTAAAATTGCCTCTCAGGTCCCCACGGTCTGTCTCCTGCTCAGCGGGCACATGCTGGAGTTCAGACAAAGGAAAGCTATCCAGTCGTGCTCAAAAATCCTTCCATTTCAGGGACAGAATGTGATAGCAGCTTAATACTGTGTGATTTGCTTCTTTCTGTGGCTTTTATTGCTTTGTCACCTACTAGACAGGTGAAAAACACGTGTATTTTTTATTAATATAATCTTATTCTACAAGGGCAAGAATACCTTGTTTTGAATAGCTGGATTATCTTTTTTGGTGGAGATTAAGCATATATAATGAACACACCATTACTGACATTATATAAATTTAAAGGGGAAACATAGATACAGAGAAAATCAGCCTTCTGTCCTTCTGTGCACTGGCAAATAGCTCTTAACATCCTTGTCTACTATTTCTGTCATCCGAGTCCTGGGTCAGTTTCATCTGGTTAATTTTTCTCTTTATTATGGGACTGGAGCTTCCTGTTTTTCATGCCTCATAATTTTTTATCGTATGCTAGACATTGTGCACTTTGCTGTGTTGGGTATTGGATATTCTGTATTCCTATAAATATGCCTGACCTTTATCCTGGCTGCAGGATGATCCTTCCAGATCCTGGTTTTGTTTGTTCGGCGGAGTGGAGCGGTGCACGTCCAGGGGGTAGTTCGTCCCTTCCGTGTCTCCTGCCCAGGGCCCCTGAGTTGTGAGGTTTCCCAGCCCAGTGGGTAGAAGTGGACAGTATCCTAGATCCCGTGTGAGCATCAGGCACTGTCCGTCTAATTGTCTGGATGGTTCTCGTTGCGGCCTGACATAGTTTCTTACGCATGCTCTGCCGATGCATCGGGGGGACCTTTCAGAGATCTTCTGAGTCCTGTCTCTCTATGGCTCTCTCCTGTCAGGTGTTCCCCCACCTGCAGGCCCTGGCCGCCTGAGTCTCCCCACACGCTCAGCACCATCTTTATAACTCAGGGAGTCTGGCAGGCCCCACCTGGGTCCCCGCTGACACTGCAGGCGGGAAACTCTCCCCAGGCCTTAAGCTGGGCAGCCACGGGGCTCACTTCATTGGTGTCCCCCTCTCAGGAATCACTGTCCTTCACGGCCTGACGTCCGTTGTCTCGTAAATGGTTGTTTCACATATTTTGCCCCGTATGGTTGTTTCGTGCGGGAAGGGAAGTCCAGTACGTTACGCCCTCTTGGCTGTAGATGACGTAAGCTGCTGCTGCTTTTTTCTTTGCTAGCGCCGGAAAGTCTGATGCAGGCTCTGGAAGACTTGGACTACCTGGCGGCGCTGGACAATGACGGGAATCTCTCTGAGTTCGGGATCATCATGTCGGAGTTTCCTCTTGACCCCCAACTCTCAAAGTCGATCTTAGCGTCCTGTGAATTCGACTGCGTAGAGGAGATGCTGACGATCGCCGCCATGGTGACAGGTACCCTTGAAGGGCTGTTCTTCCGCGTTGTGAGGCTTTCCCGGGGACAGAGTTAAATGAGGTCCGTTTGAAGTATTTTATGAAGTACCTAACGGAGGCAGTAATCCATTTCACCTTTTGAAGTGATAATGAAGTATTTTACTAGATTTGAAAGGTAGAAAGTTGTAAGGATGATCTTGATATGAAAAAATCCATCAAACCCCAGTGAATTTCTTAATCAGACATTGAAGTAAAAATGCGTTGCTGGGAGTGTTCTCCTCCAAAGAATTAGGTGTTTATTTCCTACCACCTTCATTCTTCTTGGTTTATAGGTTTTAGCTTGTTCTTCTACTGGCAGAACAGGCCATAGGCCGTGCCGCGTTAGACCTCAAAGTTCCCATCCTGTTCTAGCCACTGCCCTCGAAGCGTCTCGGGTGCCCCTGCTCTGATGGTAATACCAGCAGGCTGTTAACTCTGCTAACCAGACCTGCGAGAAGCAAACGTGAAAAGGGACAGACACATTCATGAGAACTCACCCTACATCCCTTTGACTTCTAAGTAGGCAAGAATAACCTTTATTCAGGGAAGCACACAGGAGCGGTTCTGCACACAGTGGTGAGCCCCTCCCTCTGCATTGTGCTAAGGTCATGAAGCGGGCTCCAGGGTTGCTGACCTCGTGACGTCTTGTGTCTTAAAGCTCCCAATTGCTTTTCTAATCTGCCGCGTGGAGCTGAGGAGGCTGCCTTGACTTGTTGGAAGACATTTTTACATCCTGAAGGAGATCACTTTACCCTCATCAACATTTACAAGGCCTACCAGGACACGGCTCTGAATTCCACCAGCGAACGTAAGTGAATGCTCGCGATTCTGAGAAACCTGCTCGTTTCCACCCTTCCCTCCCCAAATAAAACCGAGCTGGTAACTCGCCCTTCTCCGGCCCTGCTGGTCACCTAGCAGATGGCGCCCGAGTCCCTAAACGCACTGGCTGCTGTGCCTGGGCACGATGACATGGGGACCCAGAGTCTTGCGCAGCACAGCTCCCGTCCTCCAGGGTGCAGGGAGGAGAGAAGGGCACTGCCATCTCTCCGTGCCCTTGGGTCAGAGCTGTGCTTTGTGCGTTCCCCGACTCGCACACTCGCTGGATGGAGAGAGAACGCAGACACGGAGAACAAAGCCGAACAGATCCCCGCTCCAGATGACAGGAAGAGTAGACAGGTGTGCCGCAGGAGGCCAGAGAAGAGAACCAGGCCACGGGTCGGTCAAGGAGGGAGGGGACTTGTGCAAAGAGCAGAAGGGCGCGTGTGAAAGCGGAGGCAGAAGTCCTGATGTGAAAGGACGAGTGCATGGGTTTCCAGGAGAGGGACCCAGTGGAAAGGGAACTGGAAACACGTGCGTGGGCGACTCCAGTGCTCGGCATTAATAAAGACAGGAAGAGGAGCCCGAGGGGCCGACAGGCTAGGGCGGTGTGGTGAAGGCTGGGCCCCCGAAGGCAGCCGGTGAGTTCCCTTCCTGCAAGGGGACCTTCGTTTTCCATGAAGCATCTTATACCTCCTTTGCTCCGATAGGATGGGAAGTGAACTGGAAGACGGGACAGCCGCTTGAATGGCAGAATTCTGTAGAGCGGGGGACTCATTTTTCACAGCTGACAAGAAAAAGCTGTCGGTGGAGCCAGAAAAGATCCGGGGAGTTTGGTGGCCTCTTTTGAGAGCAAGGGGGGTGGGTGGCCGTTGTTTGCCCAAGTACGTGCTCTTGTCGCGCTGAGTGGGCCTGAGTGCACGGCCGGGCTCTTCCGCCCACTGTGCCGAGGCCGGGGGCACCACCAGGGCAAGGCAGAACGCCGGATCCACCCCAAGTGACTGCGGGTGGCACGAAAGAACTTCACACTGAACAGGTGACTGAACTGTAAGACAAATTTGCAGCTCGGGCAGGAAGGTGAGCTTCCCACGATTTCCAACTCGGCCCAGTAGTGATCCTTTTCTTATAAACGTGCAGAGAGAGTTTCACGGCTCAGGGGACTTCTACCGTACGCTTTTCTCCTTAGTTGGATCAAACGTTGGGGCCTCGTACATCCTTGCCGTGTACACAAGACGGGTGTCAGTCGGGGCCAGCCTCCCGTGCCCCTTCAGAGCCGCAGACGAAGGGTGACCCACTCACTGGTCAGTGCCAGCAGCATGCGGTTCGTGGAGCTCGCCAGGGTCCCGGAACCACCGCAGCCTCCCTCCCAGTCGCTTAGGTGACCACCTCTTTAGGGGAGGAGTCCAGAGGACACGGAGATCATGCCTTGTTCCCGGCCTGGGCTCTTCCAGCTTACGACAAGTCATTTCTTTTACTCCTCTTTCCCTCCCAGACTGTGTTGAAAAGTGGTGTCACGATTACTTCCTCAACTGCTGCGCACTCAGGATGGCGGATGTCATCCGAGCTGAACTCTTAGAAATTGTCAAGCGAATCGAGCTTCCCTGCGCAGAACCTGCTTTTGGCTCCAAGGAAAACGCTCTGAACATAAAGAAAGCTCTTCTGTCCGGCTACTTCATGCAGGTGAGAACGGGGAGGGCCGTCTTCGGGGTGGGTCTTTACAAAATCTCCCATGATTCTGTTAGGAATCTCTCACTTAGGATGATTCTTTGATTGATGTTAACTTTAGAACCGAAAACCAGGGCACCTGGGTGGCTCAGTCAGTTGAGCATACTAGTCTTGATTTGGAGGTCATGACCTCACCATTCGTGGGTT